CCCCATCTCATGAAGCAAATGACAATCGAATTAAAGGATTATATACAAATGGAAAATGATTATAAAATAGTATATTTGAAGTTGCCTGCAAAGCAGTCAGAATGTAGGTAATGCTTCATAGAAAGAAAGAAAAACTCATCAATCATTACAGGTCTGTTTTGAAAGATTTATACATAAAATTACTCTGTGGAAAAAATTAATTGAAGTTTTACTTCTGTGACCTGGATATGTGAATTGGGAAGCAGTATTAGTATTTATGACTCAGGATAAGCGCCCTCTGTTGACACTTCTTGCTGTTTTTGTTTGTGCTGGTTGCAATTTTTTTAAGTTGGTGGCTCCCAGGAACAAAAAGAATGACTCAAGCTTAATCACATCAGTTTTCATCAGTTTTGCCTCTTTGTTGCCATCTCTGTTTGAAAACCTGGAATTGCATCTGAGTGTGGAATTATCATATTAAGAAATTCTTTTAACCCAAAAAAGCACATTATGCTCCCTTCGAACTGGTTTTCTTTAAAAAAATACAAATCTGTGTAGTCCCAGGCTATCTGTAATCAGAAGCACATTTATAACTGGAATATAATTTAATTTAATTAACATGTGTTTCATAAACACATAATCCTTTCTGGATTACAATCCGCCATCAAAATGATACATTGAATTATTCCGGCTGCTGTGAGAAAAGGCTATAAACGATCGGCCACCTGCAGGATCCTCACATGTGATATAGCTAGTATCCGGGACAACTTCTTTATATTTACAGACGTGACGTAATGACGCAGCAGCATGCTCGAATTTCCCGCGAAAACCTACCCGTACCACTCAAATTAGAAAACATTATTGTAAGCTAACCGTTGTGAATCGGGCTAAAGGAAGGCGATAGTTTTGAACACTGGCTGGTTATGTACTTGCTTAAATATTGATTTCGGATCATTTTTAACCAAAAAAAGTTACGGACTGCAGCTTTAAGAGATGCAAACAACAGAGTTCAACTAAAGATTTTTGGTGGCTGTAGGCTGAACATAAGGACAGGTGACAGGTGATTTATTTATTGCAGATGCTCTTGTCATTAATAACACCAAAGACACCAATAATTTTACAGTTTCTAGGCAAACATTGGTTGTTTTTCTTAAAATGCCTAAAAAAAGAAAAGTGCTTCTCTAGACTCTGAGCTGTTACTGTGCAAATGATGCAATTATTGAACAATGAGTGCAATATCAGAGATGCATGATTCCCGTCATCTCTCTTTTAAGCACTGTTCTTGTTAACTAATGTTACCATTACGATTTACTGTTATTCACTTTGCCAATGGGTATAATCTGTGCTGTTCTCACATAGGATTTGATCAACTCACCAATCACACCTATCAAAAGTCTACTTGTATGTCATTTCCTCAGTTGCGTACATTAGCCTAACATTGAACTACTGTGGTTCGCCTGCTTGTAAATCATCTCAAAGTGTGAATACTAACACATACCGCTCTTTTACTGAATGCAGATCCATTCGCCTCACTGAATGGAGCTATTTGTAGTCTGACTGTGTTGAAGTGAGAAAAACTAGCCAGTCTGTTGTTCACTAGATGCTGTACGATCATGCATCTTCTCTCTGAATGATTCAGAAACACCCTCAGGTTATTTGTACCAGCAATGTAAGGGTAAAAAAAATGTAAAACCTGTTTTTATTTGCTTGTTTCTCACTTTCACAATTGGAATCAAATCAGGTCCACATTCAGACTATTTCGTACAATCAACTTGGTTGTACAAGTCATTTCAACTTAATTGACATTAAACTGACTTAATATATCCAGTTGAAGTTCATTTAACAAAAGTTGCTCAATTTATTCTGATGAGTTAAAGTAATGTAAAAACATAAGTTGGCATGACTTACCAATCATATAATTTTTTACAGTGCAGAAATGCGGATAGATAGAGAGAGTCAAAAGATTATATCGAAAGAGATATTCAACCCATTCACCTGAAATGTGCTGTTGAATTGGACTGACAATTTGTATTTTAGGTTGTGGTGACTGGTGCCAAATTTGAATGAATTCATTAAAATAAAATAATTAGCAACTTTACACTTCCGTTCAAATGTTTGGGATGAGAAAAAAAAGTCTCTTCTGCTCACCAAGGCTGCATTTATTTAATCAAAAATACAGTAAAAACAGCAGTATTGTGAAATATTATTGCAATTTCAAATTTGTATAGAATTTCAATGTTTTATTCCCGTGATCAAAGCTGAATTTTCAGCATCATTACTCCAGTCTTCAGTGTCACATGATCCTTTAGAAATCATTCTAATATGCTGATTTGCTGCTCAAGAAACATTTATTATTATTATCAATTTTGAAGACATTTGTGCTGCTTAATATTTTTGTGGAAAGTGTAATAAAAATATTCAGGATTCTTTGATGAATAGAAAGGAATGACTTTACTGTCACTTTTGATTAATTTAACTCCTCCTTGCTGAAAAAAAGTATTAATTTATTTCAAAAATGGTTGTGTATATTTTCTCATGTTGGATTTTCTGATGTGACATTTACAATGCACACGATGTACAAAGGATTTGTTTTAGGCTTTTCAATTCAGCTACAACATCAAATGATTAAAAGATGATTAAATGTTCAGTTTTTCCGGTTTTATGGAAGGAAAGCATTTTACAGTAATGAAATGATCTATATAGCTATATGATCGTCTTACCTGTATCCACTGTATGTTCCTCTAGATATATATTATGTTGAATAATTATGAAGCAGTTTTGTAAGGTAAAACCTGCAGGTATAAATCGTTATAATCTCAACACCATTTTTCTCTGGTTTATTTATGAAGCCATGTTCTTTTCCTGCATTTCCATGCATTTCAGATGCTGACATTTTCTGACTGAAATGTTCCTTGTTTAAAGTCTTCCATTATTTAAAAACACAAGTGAAGATGAAACCATCCACTTCAAAGGGGTTTCACTCTAAATTAGGACATCGCTTCAGCTCAGCATGTGAGTCCCAAATCAGAATGTCACTCCAGATCTAAGAGTGAATCGAAATCAGGGCTTCACACAAAATCAGGACATCATGAAATCAGGGTTTTTCTGAAGTAGCCGGCTGTTTTTTTCCTGGTGATGTTTCAGGCACTATACCATGGTCTCCTTATTCTTGTATTTGCACAAGAAGTGCATTGTTAGATGTTTTGGTCTCAGGTGTGACTTCACAGGATGGGGAATCTGTAGCCGGACGCTGGGATTTGTCTCGTTCCACATCCTGAAGAGATGAATGTGGTAACGTAGGGATACCTGCGGTTAAAATGGAAGATCATGTGGAAAAGTTAGAACCATTTTTTCATCATTTTACATTTTATACACTTATACAAATTTGTTGTTCATTTTTCAATTTTGAATTTTTTCTTTATTCAATTTTCACTGTATCATCCTGGGTGTCATAAATCTAATTAATGTGTGTTTTTGTTTTCTAAATCAGAGTATTTTCTTATGCTGCACCAGTCAGAAACACTGCAGGTGTAAAATGTCATTGCACTTTCATTTGCTACATTGAAAACAAGAGTGAACTTACAACAGTCCAGAAGAGGTAAATAGTGAAGAGAGTCAGTGTGAGAACAATGAGTCCCACGGCCTCCATGCTGTTGCTGTAGTACAGATCCATGGCTCCCTGCACACACAGCCAACCTGACAGACACGCTAAGGGTGTTATGAACAGGAAACATATGGCATCCCCGCACAGCGTCCGTCTCTGCTGCTGCATGGAAGGTGTGGTGAACCACTGCAGCCACGAAAAACAGCTCATTAGGAGGGGTTTATACTTGAATTAAGGCAGTTTGAAAGCTTATTTCATGTGTTTTTTGGTTAATAACTCAAATTTTGTATTAACTTTTTACAAATGGAGATTAAAATTCAGACAACTTAAGATAAAGAAAAACATTTATTTGCAACTATCCATATCACAAAACCACTTTACATAATGCATAGATAAGCGCATATTATAATTCAGCAAATGTAAAAAGAATAAGAAATACATGCAGAAAGAAAAAAGAATGAAAGAAAAGAAAGAAAGAAAAAGAAAGAATGAATGAATCAATTAATTAATGAAAAGATGACAGACAGACAGACAGATAGAGACAGGTAGACTAGATAGAGACAGGTAGACTAGATCGAGACAGTTAGACAGACAGACAGACAGACAGACAGACAGACAGACAGACAGACAGACAGACAGACAGACAGACAGATAGATAGATAGATAGATAGATGAGACAGGTAGACTAGATCGAGACAGTTAGACAGACAGACAGACAGACAGACAGACAGACAGACAGACAGACAGACAGACAGA